TTCGTCGTCNCCTCTTCTCTTCCTTCCTTCTCTCTCTCTCTCTCTCTCTCTCTCTCTTTCCTCCTCCTATCCGGGATCATCGATTATTATTCCTTTCAACCGTGGTGCTAATGAATTCGAGAACGCACTACTTATACGTGTTAATGAATAAGAAATATTACTAGCAATCTAGTTAAGCGTGCCGACAAGTTTTTCCGCGGCGAGGATATAATTCGAAGTGACGCGTTGTTGAGATAAATCGATTTCGATAGATGAATCAAGGGGAGGAGGAAAGGAGAGGAATAAAGAGGGAATAAAGGTGGGGAAAAATGAAGGAAAAGGAAGGAGCGGGAGGAGCGTTAAGTGTGGCGCAATCAATCTTACCTTGTACGCGCGCTGGAAGATTAATGCACTTTCAAATTTCATTAATTCTTCGCTGCATAATGAGCCGCAGGGCGAACGAATAACTTTCCTTAACGCCGCGATAATGCCGTCGAGACTCCGCACCGTAATTGCATCAATTCCTTGGTAATTCGCACAATTATCCTTTCTGATTTTCCGCCCGGCACCGAGCTAACTGCTCGAGAGCACGCTTCCAATTAATCACGCGCGGCCTCCACGAATCTCCCCGCGTAATTAAAGTATGTCGTTGCTACGAATCGGAACAATTAATCGGGTGTCTTTGTGGGAGATCCGAGAACGAGCCACTCCCAAACGATCCAGTCTTCGAACCTATCTCTTTCTCTCTGCTTCCAAGATGGTATAACGTACCTCGTTATACCGATACGTTCGAACGATTGTTTCTTCGAAATTTTTACGAAGGAGTGTAAGTAAAGTTGCGACTCGAACGTTTGTCAGAAAGAATATTTCGATTGATTCACGCTGCGTTCAATCAAGGATTATCGTGTTTTCTTATTCGAAGATTATATTTATACCTGGATGCATGAATTTGAAGTTGCGGCAGCGTTTCATCAGAGATTGATGGAAATATTCGAGAATTGAGAAAGAATTGATTGGCGACAATCGCGGAAACAGAACGTACAATCCTTAAGTAACAATGAGCACGAATATATTCTCGTTCTGTCGATTGAAATTAATCAAATTATCACCAAGTATTATTGTATTCGAGTATCGTCGAGGATTAAAAAGATATCAACGGAGGAGTTGCGATTCGATTCTTGCGACTCCTTCTTTCCGCTCATTCCACGAAGATTTTTTTTTTTTCGTTTACATTCGATTAAGAGGTTGTAAGCGCGATCGAAGAGGAAAATGTAAATACGACAAGTGAACGACGAAGGATTAATAGGGGGGAAAATGTTCCCATTGAAGGGAAGGTCGGAATTAAAGCGGTCCCTGGACAGAGAGGAGGTAACGGCGTCGCGGCGTTCTGGAACGCCGCAGGTAAAAGTGCTTTGTTAGGAGAGGAGGGGTGGAGGAGTAATTTCGATCGCGTGACAA